TATTACCATTCGGCGCGTGGAATTGATCCATCGTGCACGCTGGGATTGTACCATGGTCCACCTCCACTGGGCTATTTAATTGAATAGTAAGTGTGTGTGTTAGTTGGCTGAAGGAACAATCGACGTACGACGCACGGCAAAGGCTGATAGTCGCCCCGGGTTTTCTCTTTTGGTATTGCACATTGATATATTTAAAGGTTTTCTTCCTTCCTTTTTTTCTTTGTTTCTTTGTGAGTTTTGCTATGCTAAGAGTGGTCTGAGAGAGATTCTTTGGGCTTTTGCTGTTTTTTTTTTCTTACTGTGCAGTCAAGTGCCGGGTTAGCTTACAATAAGACTCGAAACCAAGACCATAAGAAGAGGAACAAACTTCCTTACTATTTAAGACAACACATTATTGTTGGATTTTTAGTGTAATTAAATTGTCGATCTTTCAACAAGAGAAAGAGATCCTATTGAGTAATTCATAAATAAAAATCTACTCACAAATGAGCGCCACATTAGCTATGGTCTATATCTTCTCCAAATGAAAGAAAAAATGAGCACCACATTGTATGTTCACTTACACACTTCTCGAGGGCTTGTCCTGCATGAAATGGGTCGGATAATTGCTAAGCCTTTCAAAATGGATTATAGACACATTTCTTAACTCATATTTGATGGGTTGAGTTATTATATGGGTTAGCTATATTCAGTAAATATGTTATAAATGGATATAGAATGGCAAAACCCAAAAATTTATAAATATTAAATGGTTTCACAGTTTACCTAAATCTAACCACATTCGTGACTTTCTCTTTACTTTTTGTGAGAAAATAATAGACTCCTCATACTATTCCAAGTTCAAAGAAGTCTTGGTGGGCCCGCAAGATGAGCCCGACTTCACCTTTATTAAAAATATTAAGACGGCTTCTATTTTTCTCATTATTATTTTTTTATTTTTATTAATATTGTAAGTTTCGCCCGTTAGTTATTGGAGTATATCTTTCCTTGATTGCATTTGGCATTTTCATTTTTACGTAATATTCTAATCTTAGTTCTTGTCATTACAATCCATTGTCAGTATAAATTATCTTATTAAACATCTTACAGTTCATTTAATTAAAATTTCAATTCCTCCGCGTTGTTTGTTGCTTTAATTTTATAAATTCACTATCAAGTACTAACTTTCTCTTACTCTTCATTATGAATCAGTATAAAAATAAAAAATTCTATGCAATGCTTATAGTCTAAATAACGATTTTATCCTACTAACATATATATATATATATATATATATATGAAGAGCTTAAAGTGGGTTAATTAGGTGGATATTGATTTTCATAGGATGAATTAAATATGAAAGTATTTTAGTAAATGCAGTCGAGTACATGTATGAGTTACTAACGGTGGAAATTCAACTTGAATTGTGGCAAGCTAAACTAAATCACCCCACGGTGCTCAACTTTGGCTACCTGATGAATAAGTGCTCGACTCGGGCGCTCACAGCTGCCTAGACACTTGACAATGACTTTGCTCATTTATGACGCTCGCAATTGCAAGAAAGTCCAACACATCTATGGTACGTAGGTGTTGCAGATTGGAGCACTAATGGCACCGGAGAAAACTCTATTTTGTGTTTTTCTTCATTTGGAATTGAAAAGGGACAAAAAAACATAAAATAGAAAAGCACAAAAATAGACTAAGACCAAAACCAACAAACAAACAGTAGTTTGATCTTGACAAAGAAGCAGAACCAATGACCACGATCAAGAAGGATGCACGAAGGAGTGAAGCTACAGAACAAAGAGGCTCGACTTTTGGTAGACTTCACCAGCACAAGGATGTTTGCGACATGACTGATGAGGCCACAGAGAAAGGACAACTTCCTCTGACGACGAGGGAGAGTCCATCGACTCTCGAGATAGAGCTACCCTAAGAGACAACGTGAGCGACAAGCAGATGCCAGCCAATGAAGCACTGTTGATGACGAGGACTTGTTGCGGTTGCTCTCGATGATGAAAATACTCAAATGTTACATCTTTACTTTAATGAGTTACAATTAAGAGGTTTTTATATCCGAACAATATATACAAGAAAGGAAGTAATCTAATCTAATAAGGATATTAGTTGTCCTAGGAGATAACGAAATGTCAAACAAAATTCCTAACATCTAATAATATTTCTAACAATATCTTTTAATATTGAATTCTTTAATATTCATAAATATAAAAGCCCATAAAAATGACGACCTGGGGGAGAGGGATCCGGAAAATTTTGTGCAAAATGGGCAATTTCAAGAACCGAGAATTGCGGGGAGGAGAGGGAGGAAAACAGGGGATGGTACAAATTGGAAACAGGGAGCAGTCAAAGTAAACGCCTGCTGGTGGGGACGATTCTGTCTAGTGTTAACGTTCGCTACGGGATTGATGATGTTACTTACTCTGCGGACACTTGTGTAGGGAATAGGAGCAGAAACGCGTCTGTCTGTCGGCTTTTCTCTATTCGTTTGCGGATTTCTCGGTGTCAATTTATGTTATGCTGGCCAGACCAAGAAAAATCAAACTTCAATGAATAGGATATGACTCGCTTAGGGGATTGGAATATGAGCTGTGGTTCGTGATGAAAATAGAGATTGTCAAATAGTGCCCAAATCCAAAGGGTGGTTCAGTATTAGAACGATCCAACTATTGCGCTTCAAAAAGCGAAGGATTTTGTATTTGATCCATACTCGTCGTTGCCACTAAAGCCAAGATTGAATCAGAGACGGATTCGATTTTCATGGGAATGGGCCTGTTTTTTGGATTGGAGATTGTCGACGGACAAAAGGTTTTTGAGAATATCACAAATTCTCGATTAAAAGAAAATACCTTTCAGATCACTTGTTAAAGCTTGATAACTAATTGAAAACGAAAATTTTCTATTGACTGATAGTTGTTCTTTTGTTGATGTGTGCTTGTGTCTACTTAAGTGTTCCTCCTATATTAGTGATCTTGACTAGTGTGCAAATGATTCTTAATAGCAGACTCAATTTAATTATATCGCAATTGTATTGTGGGTCTGCACTGGCATTGGGAACGTATTTGCTGGGGCTGACGTAGACTCAAGCTAATGCCATGTCCAAATTTTCTTTGCTTTTCCACATTAAGTAATGTCATCTTGGACAAAGTCACAACCACATGCAAGATTCTCTTAGAATGAATGTCCAGTGATTACCGAGACTGATTTCCAAGTTTTGTTGGGAATATTTTTCAGCGGATACATAAAAGAGGTCTAATCGATCGAGTCGGTATTCACATTTGAATCGGACTAAACTTGAAAATTTAAGACTAGACACTTTATTCAGACTTGATCTCGTCAGACATCAACTTATTTGGATTGAGTTTGACTCGTGAAATTTTTTTTATTAACTTGAAATGACTAAGTTTGATTCGACTCAGTTATCATAAATGCGTATTTGTCGGATCTTGATTCAAGCTTGAGCTCAAATTCGACTTTCATAAAATCTGAACAAATGAGGCTCAGACTTGACTCATTCCTGCACTTTGAACTCGTAAATAATCAAGGCAAGCTCGAGTAGCTTGATTGGTTTGCACATAAAGAAGCAATTAAAACCTGATTTCGAAGAAGCATGTGACAAAATGTTGGTAAAGCGCATAATCGTTTCAATCTTGAGTGTTGCGTATTTCATTCTAGTTGAGTTTTGTCTTCGAACGGGGTTAAATCTATTTTTAATCCTTCAATTCATAATTTGTGTGATCAGGTCCTCGAGCCGACAACCCGTTACCACTACGATGCAAAGTTGGAGTCCACCATGACCGCTTCTCCGAAGGTCAAGCCCATCGCTTCACATTTTCCAACCCTTGCCAATGGTCGCTGGTGGTGGCTTCGGCCACCAAGTCGTCCGCCCCTTCTCGCATCTCTCGCTTTTCCACCTTTGTCTTCTACATTTGACTTTCTTATTTTTCTTAAACTAAAACTAGTTTCTTTTGATTTTAACATTATCGACTTTTACCTTTTTCAATAATTATAATAAAAAAATCATCCTAACATACCACATTGACATACTAAGAGTTATTTAAGGACTGAATTGAGAATGGGTTAGAGTTAGAGGAGTTGATTCCAAAAACAAAAACAAAAAAATTGGAGGATCCAATTGTACAAGCAACATAAGTTTGGGGATTAAAATTGAACTTAATCTTTTCTACTAGCAAGGGAACACCGGTTCGCTGGGGCCTACAAAAAAATTATCAACTAATGGTAGAAGTCGTTAAATAATTGATAATGAGAACTGGAAAATATATTCGTAAAGTTCCAGCATTATAATGTAAAACTCTACCTACTGAAAACCAATAAGTGCCAATTTTTCTCATTAATCTCGACCAATATATTTTTTTAACATAACTATTTTTATAAATGAGGGTCATTTCAGTCTTTTTCTTGCTACATCAATACTTTACTCCTTTCTCAACTTTCTTTAAAGAAAGATTCCGTTTTTTTTCCTAATTTTGGATATTATTATTAAGGCTAGGTTTAGTTAAGGGTGGGAAAATTACCAATTTAATACTGTACAGATTCCAGTGTAGTTCTAAAGTTTTCAATTGATTAAATGTAGCTCCAAAACCTCACGCCAAATTCCAATGTACTCCTGCCCACCAATTTTCGCCTGAAAATGCTAACGTGGTATTCCAGTCATCGCCGGCCGTCCTATGAGCTCGGCCAGCGAGTGGACAAATTTATTCAAAATGACATCCTTTTGAGTAATTTTATTAATTTTTTGCTTTTTAAAATGTTTTTATTTCCTTTTTTTTCTTTTCCTTCCCTACTTTCCCTCTTCCCATTTCCTTTTTTCTTTTCTTTCCCATTAACACCAGATCTGAAACCCAATCCTCAAACTCTCCATCAATAACCCAGCATCACCACAATATTACATCCATATCAGCAGATATTGCGTAATAGTGGCATTTGCATAAACCATAAAGTTTTTATTTTTATTTTTCTTACGGATCATGAAAACTTCCAACCTAGCCTCGTTCATAAATTGCAAACATTATATTATTATTGCTTACGGGGACATTATTCTTGCTTACGGGGACATTATTCATCACCCACACAAGAAATGTGTTCAACGCCAAATCTGATGTCAGCATCGTTAGACTCTGTTCGCTTGCTTTGTTTGCCGTCGACCTCGACAACCTTGAGCTCCGCCACGGCGACGAGCTCGAGCCCCCAGATCTGGAGAGCTCGAGCTCCATCGCAGCACCGAGCTCGAACCCCAGATCTGGCAGATCAAGCTCCGCCATGGCATGGAGCTCCTAAAATTTATGCAAAAATTGTAACTGAGTATTTCCATTAGGTCCGACTGTTTTGACATGGTTTTTATTTTAATTTTTTTGCAGGACATGTAGAGCTCATATTGAGAGAGAGAGAGAGAGAGAGAGAGAGAGAGAGAGAGAGAGAGAGAGCTTTTTTATTTTTCACATTTTTTCTAATGTGTCGTCCACTTAAATCCCCATCAACGCCAAGTATCACTAAGTATATTAAAGAATTCGAGTCAATTTTGTCATAGATATAATTAATTGAAATGCTTGATTGTAATGAACAATTAGCATGGGATTAATCTATATGAAAGTTCTAAGATTTATAGTTTCTATGAGTTTTAAGACTTTCGATGCATTTATTTTCTAATATTATTTATTTTTCTAACAACATTATGGCATTAGGTTAAGACTTTTCCAATTTAAAAGCATTCCATCTTAGTTAAAACAATCCTCACTAAAAAAATTTCTTCATTTGCAATCTTTTAATTCCAAAACTCCGGGAAAATAGTTATATATTCTGTCGTATTCTTATTTCTACGCAATACACAGACCTACTTCTATTTCTCCTATTGGTAAGCAAGAGTTCTATTGATCAATAAACAAAACCATCTTTTCAATGGTGATGAAGAATTATGAAGAGAAGAAAGAACGAAATAGTCTTTCTCAAGTTTAATAACTAAACCTTGGAGGAAATCTTCATGGACACGAGTGTCTGAATAGCACTTTATCCCAGAATCGATAATAGGCAAACCTCCATGATCTGATAAACACTAACGAACCACAAAATACCCAGAAGCCAACGACAAACCCAAGCGGTATGCCCATGTAAAACCACTTCTTCTCGCTATCATCATTGTCGCCATCGTCACCAGCATCTTTCGTCCAGGTCGTGGTAATTGAGCAATTTCTGTTGAGCAGAAGCCCGCACAATCCAAGGTTTCCTTCCAAAGAACTTCTGGAAAACGTGAGAAACTGTCCGCTTGTCGGGATACTTCCTACTAGTTGATTGTTTGAGAGGTTCAGGGAGGAGAGGAAATTTAGATTTGCAAGCTGAGCCGGTATGGTTCCATTGAGGTAGTTGCCTGACAGGTCTAGCGACTCAAGCTGACCCAGATTCCCCAAAACAGGAGGAATTGTACCCGAGATGGCATTGTGCGATAGGTTGAGGACATGAAGTGCTTTGAGATCTCCAAGTGTGTCTGGTATTGCACCCTCCAATTTATTGCATGAGAAGTCAATCGATGTGAAAACAGTCATAATCTTGACGAGTTCTAGCTGAAAACCTTTCGAAGTTACTCTTATTGTATCTTGATAATAGACCCCACTCAGTTGGGAAAACTGATACTGCAGACGATTGAAGTCTACATTGGCCTTCATAGCCGCCCAAGATGTGAGGAGACTTGTAGGCAGTGTTCCGCGGAAATCGTTTGAAGACAGGTCAATGATTTGAAGCATCTGCCAGGTGCTTGGACTATGCGGACATCTAATTTCCCCATGCAATTTGTTGGATCTTAAAACAAGGATACGAAGACTTGATATAGCCTTGAAATAGCATGGAAATGTCCCGTCTATTTGATTGTTCCCGATGTTCACAATCTCCAACATCGTGCATTTTGCCAACGACAACGGAATATGCCCTTGCAACAAATTCTCACTGATATCCAATGTCTTCAGATTGCATGTTCTCAGGATGTTTTGTGGAATATTACCATTCAACTGGTTATCCCTCAGATTCAATACCTTGAGGGACTCAATCATTAAACAATCAGGAATAGTTCCATTCAAATGGTTATGCGATAAGTCGAGCACTTCGAGATTATTAAAATAACCAGCTGCGCAAATAGACTGCGGGATGGACCCATGGATATTATTCTTCGAAAGGGAGAAGAACATCATGTATGGTAGGTTGTTGCCAATGTCATCTGGAATAACAGAATTTATGCTGTTACTTGAGAAATCCAAGTAGTAAGCATATGCCGGCAAGGGTGGCATATTCCCTCGGAGCTTGTTTGAATGGAGGTCAACGAAAAGCATACTCATAGTAAGATTGCCAAGAGGTGTTTCCAAATCTTCAAAGAAATTAGAGGAAAGATTGAGATACGAAAGATTTGTTGGCGTCCATATTTATCGTGGTATTTTCCCTCGAATATAATTGTGGGAGAGGTCAAGGGATTCCAATTCGGACTGGTTAGCCAAAAACTGAGGCAATGTCCGCAACTGGCAGGAAACCATCTTTAAAGTTTTAATGACAGAAATGAAGACGCCGAGGCAGTAGTGTTTGTGGCGTCAATCGAAAAATGATTGTAGGAAAGATCCAAATAGGAAAGGTTTCTCGATTCTTTGAACCAAATTAATGTGAAATGAGCCACTGAAATTATTGGAAGAAAGTGAGAGGTAGTTGAGCCCTCGGAGTTCCCATATAAACTTTGGCAGTCCTCCTCCTATATTGTTGTTGCTCAAATCAAGTGTATTCAGTTTGTGTGATTTGGTATTAATAGGCACCTTCACTTGACCAGAAAATCGATTGTCGGAAAGTTGAAGCTCCTGAATCAATGGAAGCGTAAATAGAGACGAAGGAATATTTCCTTCAAGTAAATTGAATTGCAGGTCGAGAATAAGAAGACTCAAGAGGGATTCCCATTGGGTTGAATCGATCCGACCAATTAGATTATTGTAGGACAAAGTAATTTGTGTCAGATTCTTGGACTTGCTGAGTGATGGAATTGAACCACTAAAATTGTTGAATGACAAGTCCAAATAAGACAATCGCGAGAGATTGGTGAAAGAGCTTGGGATATTTCCATCAAAGTTGCATCGCTCCAATTCTATTCTTGATAGATTCCTAAGCTTACCAATTGAATCTGGGAGCCTCCCGGAAAAATTTGTGAAACTAAGATCCAGTGTCTGAAAAGAACTATTCTCCGGAAATATTGGCAAAGAACCCTGAAGCAGTTCGTTGAATGAGAGGTCAAGGGTCTGAAGTGTTTGTACCCGGAAGATTTTTTGACGAAATTCCCCCTGTAGGCCACAATCACTTAGGCTCAGAGTTTTCAAGCTGGAAAATTTCGCTAAGATACTAGGATCTGTGGTAGACAAGTTGTTGTCATCGAGTCGAATGACCGACAGATTAGCCAGACTCATAAGAGAAGCGCCGATAGGACCATATAGAGAACATGAAGACATGCTCAACACCTCAAGTTTCGGCACTGAAGAAGACAACGCGTCGCACCACTCACTTCCCTCAACAGACACATCGACCCCATCAAGGTACAGCTCTCTCAACTCCCCCATATCCCCAATCAGCGACCTCAAAGGGGGCTTCTCAAGGACCAGCAAAGCCGATCCATAGTAATAAAGACTAGTGAGATCAAGAGTACGTAGCTTCGTCAGGCGCGATAGCTCCGCCGAAATCTGCCAGTCAAATCTAGCATTGGACAAGTTGAGATGTACCAAGCGGCTGAGATTCGCGAGGCCAGACGGAATCGCTGAGTAGTCGAAATCGTTGAACGCCAAGTTCAGGCTTTGAAGGAACTCGAGCCTGAAGAGGCTCGACGAACTGTTGATTCCGCCAGAGATCGACTCACTGCTCAAATCGAGTCCCACGACGAGCCCGTCCTTGCACGTCACGCCACTCCATGAATCAGCGCTTCGGTTCCACCATACTAGCTTGGAGGACTGGGAGGCGTTGAAGACGAGGCTGTCTCTCAGCTCGAGCAAGAGCGATCTTTGGTCGATGCCGGGACACCGGGCTGAAGCTGAAGCCGTAGCAACATCGGAGAAGATGGAGATGGTGGATATAGAAAGAACAAGCCATGAGAAGATGGAAGTGTTCATCGGAAGAGGTTGAAGAAGAGTGCTGGAAGTGGGCAAGGGGAAGAGGGAGTGGAACGAAACAGAGTTGACACTTATTATGGAGTTGTCGTCGTTCGAAGTCAGTGCTAGCTGGTGTCGATTTTCGGGATGTGATTGGTCACTAAATTTGGACTCATCTCACTTTCGAAATTACTAGCAAAAATCGCGCATTCCTTTGCAACAAAATTACATCCTTTATTTAATATAATTTTTCAATAGAAAAAAAAACCATATCTTTATTTTCTAAGAAAAAACGAAAAAATAAACAAGTCCGCCTAAAATGTGGAGATTAGAACTTGACATCTCTTTTGAAAATGCTGTTTGCTCATCTTATTTTACATCATCAAACAAATGACAAATGACGAATCAATTTTTTCTTTGCGCATACATTAACGATGTAGAAATTTGTTAAACGTAAAAGATACCTAGCTTTTCGCGATAACATCAAAATGCATCTATCATATCCTTTTTTTTATATTAAATAAGTAGATTCAAGAAAAGAAATAAAATGATTTATTAACGTTCGAATGCAGCTTCATTACAGAATTTGTGAGTGTACACATAGAAGGAGGAGTTGTGTTCTTATTGGAAGGCAAACGAACATGAGCTTCCTTGAACAAGGGTTGTGTGTTTTGGTCCCTATGCGCGACTATCTTAAGTTGACTTGACTTGTGGTGGGTTTCAGTGGTTCTATGACTGTGGATGCAAATTCTTGAATGATCTTGCTAAGGATGTCATGTTCGATATTGGTTCGAGTTACTTGACCGAGTAATTCGGGCGAGTGACAAGATACCACCATAATAAATGGCGCGTGAGGTGGACAGGGATCAAGTGCGAGGACTTTGGCAGCCCTTGATCCTTCCTTACTGCAACTGCTGCTTGCACTATCTGTCTTTTTCCTCGTTAACGCGTTTGTTCACCTTGACTAGAGAATGCAAAATTGTCGTTTCAATGGTGGTTTTATATGGGCTAATTTCTAAAATTCTATCTACGACAAAAACGGAATTTTTTCTATGCGCATCAAACACGTAACATCTGTACCGGCACTCAATTGAACCACATAAACCTTTTGTTCTCGTTCTTTGTTGATTTCTCTGGTAAGCTTCAATTAAGGGTAATTCATGCTCGAGCAATATGTGCATGGAAGAAAGTGCTCTAATCTAACGAGACAATTACTTATCTTAATCTAGCAAGGAAACTAGTTGTATTAGGAACTAACGAAATGTCAAATAATAACCCTAAAATCTAATAATATCTCTAATAATATTTTTTCATAATTCCTCAAATATCAATAAATATACTAAGAACAAAGCCCATAAACATGATGATCCGTGAGCGAGGGATCTGGAAAAATTACGTGCGAAATGGGCCATTCAAGAACAGAGAATTGCAGGTAGGCCTCTAACAAGTTAGTCGTGAGGGATCTGGAAAAATTTCCATTTTAGCCTCCATTGGCGAAGGTAAAAATGTTTCGTAGTCACACAAATCGGTTCGATAAATTGTGTAACTACGAAACATTTTTACCTTCGTCAACGGAGGCTAAAACGGAAATTTCGAGACGAACGGAGGCCATGGAATGATTCACTGACACCCCCTCTTCAAGTTGGTGGTGCTCGCCTCACCGAAAAGGTCACCGTTCGGCCGGAAAAGTCGCGATTTTGAGCCCTAACGACCAGCTCGTAAGTGGCATTTAAGTGATTTTTTTTGGAAAGTTATGGCACTTAAGTGAGCCAAAAAAAAGTTATAGCACTTAAGTGTCCTCCGTACAAAAGTTATGCACCTGCACTGTACTTACCCCTATATGTGTGTGTGGGCGTTGGCTGAAAGAACAATCGACGTACAACGTATGGCAAATGCTGATAGTCGCCCGGGTTTTCTCTTTTGGTATTGCACATTGATATATTTAAAGGTTTTCTTCCTTCTTTTTTTCTTTGTTTCTTTGTAAGTTTTGCTATAGTAAGAGTGGTCCGAGAGAGATTTTTTGGGCTTTTGCTTTTTTTTTTTGTTGTGCAGTCAAGTGCCGGTTTAGCTTACAATAAGATTCGAAACAAAGACCATAAGAAGATGAGCAAACTTCCTTACTATTTAAGACAACACCTTAGTGCTAGATTTTTAATGTAATTAAATTGTCAGATCTTACTACAAGAGAAAGAGATCCTATTGAGTAATTCATACATAAAAATCTACCCTCAAATGGGCGCCACGTTAGCTATGTTCTATATCTTCTCCAAATGAAAGAAAAAATGAGCACCACATTGTATGTTTACTTACACACTTCTTGAGGACTTTTCCCGCATGAAATGGGTCGGATAATTGCTAGGCCTTTCAAAATGGATCATAGACCCATTTCTTAACCTATATTTGATGGGTTGAGTCATTATATGGATTAACTATGTTCAGTAAATGTGTTATAAATGAATTTATAATGACAAAACCCAAAAAGATATGAGTGTTAAATGATTTCACAATTTACCTAAACCCAACCCACATTTGTCACTCTCTCTTTGCCCTTAATGAGAAAATAATGGACTTCTCATACTGTTCCAAGTTTAGAGAAGTTTTGGTGGCCCGCAAGATGAGTCCGACTTCACCTTTATTAAAAATATCAAGACGGCTACTTTTTCTCATTATTTTTTATTTTTATTAATATTGTAAGTTTCACTTGTTAGTTATTAGAGTATATCTTTCCTCAATTGCATTTGGCATTGTCATTTTTACATAATATTCTAATCTTAGTTCTTGTCATTCCAATCCATTGTCAATATAAATTATCTTATAAATTCACTACCAAGTACTAACTTTCTCTTATTCTTCATTGTGAATCAATATAAAAATAAAAATTCTATGCAATGCTTATAGTCTAAATAATGATTTTATCCAACTAACATATATACATGAAGAGCTTAGAATGGGTTAACTATGTTGATACGGATTTTCATAGGTTGAATTAAATATGAAAGTATTTTAGTAAATGCGATCGAGTACGGGGATGAATTAATAACAGTAGAAATCTAACTTGAATTGCGGCAAGCTAAACTAAATCACCCCACTGTGCTCAACTTTGGCTACTTGATGAATAAGTGCTTGACTCGGGCGCTCGCAGCTGCCTAGACACTTGACAATGACTTTGCTCATTTATGACACTCGCAATTGCAAGAAAGTCCAACGCATCTATAGTACGTAGGTGTTGCAGATTGGAGCACTAATGGCACCGTAGAAAACTCTATTTTGTGTTTTTCTTCATTTGGAATTGAAATAGGACAAAAAAAACATAAAATAGAAAAACACAAAAATAGACTAAGACGAAAACCAACAAACCAACAGTAGTTTGATCTTGACAAAGAAGCAGAACCAATGACCACGATCAAGAAGGATGCACGAAGGAGTGAAGCTAGAGAACAAACAGGCTCGACTTTTGGTAGACTTCACCAGCACAAGGATGTTTGCGACATGACTGATGAGGCCACAGAGAAAGGACAACTTCCTCTGACGACGAGGGAGAGTCCATCGACTGGCGAGATAGAGCTACCTTCGGAGACAACGTGAGCGACAAGTAGATGCCTGCCAATGAAGTACTCTTCATGACGAAGACTTGCTGCGGTTGCTCTCGAAGATGAAAATACTCAAATGTTACATCTTTACTTTAATGAGTTACAATCAAGGAGTATTTATATCCGAACAATACATACAAGAGAGGAAGTAATCTAATCTAATAAGGATAGTAGTTGTCCTAGGAGATAACGAAATGTCAAACAAAACCCCTAACATCTAATAATATTTCTAATAATATCTTTTAATATTGAATTCTCTAATATTCATAAATATAAAGCCCATAAAAATGACGACCTGGGGAGAGGGATCCGGAAAATTTCGTGCGAAATGGGCAATTTCAAGAACCGAGAATTGCGGGGAGGAGGGGGAGGAAAACAGGGGATGTACAAATTGGAAACAGGGAGCAGTCAAAGTAAACGCCTGCTGGCGGGGACGATTCTGTCTAGTGTTAACGTTCGTTGCGGGACTGATGATGTTACTTCCTCTGCGGACACTTGTGTAGGGAATAGGAGCAGCAACACATCTGTCTCTATCGGCTTTTCTTTATTTGTTTGCGGATTTCTTGGTGTCAATTTATGTTATGCTGGCCAGATCAAGAAAAATCAAACTTCAATGGATAGGATATGGCCAGCTTAGGGGATTGGAATATGAGCTGTGGTTAGTGATGAAAATAGGGATTGTCAAATAGTGCCCAAAACCAAATGGTGGTTCAGTATTAGAACGATTCAGATATTGTCCTTCAAAAAGCGATGGATTTTATATTTGATCCATACTCGTTGCAGCCACTAAAGCCAAGATTGAATCGGAGATGGATTCGATTTTCAATGAAAAGGGCCTGTTTTTTGGATTGGAGATTGTTGACGGACAAAAGGTTGTTGAGAATATCACAAATTCTAGATTAAAAGAAAATACCTTTTAGATCACTTGTTAAAGCTTGATAACTAATTGAAAACGAAAATTTTCCATCGATTGATGGTTGTTCTTTTGTTGATGTGTGCTTGTGTCTACTTAAGTGTTCCTCCTATTTTAGTGATATTGACTAGTGTGCAAATGATTCTTAATAGCAGACTCAATTTAATTATATCGCAATTGTGTCGTGGGTCTGCACTGGCATTGGCGACGTATCTTCTAGGGCTGACGTAGACGCAAGGCAACACCATGTCCAAACTTTTTTTTGCTTTTCCACATTAAGTAATGTCATCTTGCACAAAGTAACAACCAGATGCAAGATTCTCTTAGAACGAATGTCCAGTGATTACCAAGACTGATTTCCAAGTTTTGTTGGGAATATTTTTCAGCGGATACATAAAAGAGGTCTAATCGATCGAGCCGGTATTTATATTTGAATCAGATTAAACTTGAAAATTTAAGACTGGACACTTTATTCGGACTTGATCTCATCAAACATCAACTTATTTGGATCGAGTTTG